TTTTGTACCTTTGTAAGGATGCAAGTATTTCCATTAACATGCAGTTTTGAATCCAAAACAACTTCCCTCGTTTCTCAACTCTATATTTATTTCCAATAGATTTTCTTATTTCCCACGGGCCCCTCTGACTTGCTCTCCCTTAGTACATTTTTAAAAATCCTGGAATTGCCTGGAAAAAAATCTATAAATGTATATCATGTAAATTCCCCCTTGTTTTGCAGCATGAATGAAAAGATGCAGATTAAAATGTAAATGATAGAATTATTGGCACACACTGTTCTCATATACACGTTTACATCACGGACAAGAACTGAAGAGTTTCAGTTAGCTGTGAGTGTAAAAATAGGAAGTCATGTGGGACTGCTGGAGCCTTTCAGAGTAATAAATCACTCTTTCTCACTCTCCTCATGTGTGTGCAGCTTTATGCTCCTTGCTTTTGCAGCAATAAATCAGGCCACATGCAACCTGACAGCGTGCTCTGTGCACAGGTGTACATCTGTATGTACTGGGACGTGCTGGTGGATTATAGTGGTTATTACCCATTTCTTAAGTCTGCCATTCATCACCAGTTGTGGCTCTTTATTCTGTGACATCCTATATGTCAAAGCAGTTTCCCTGTTAATACATCAGGAGTCATGAAAGAGGCAGACAGTAAAAGATGGCTATCTTTTTGATAATCTGAACATTGTTTGTGAAATGATGCTCAGGTAGTCCTGGTGTTTTTAAATCCACTCATGTGAAAAACAAAGTAGCTTATCCATGATTCAGCAGCGTGAACAACCATCTTTAGCAGCAATAATTAGAAACAATCCTTTTCTATATGACTTATTAGTATCTGACACTGATGTGGGGAATGTTGGCCAGCCGCTTTTTAGTGTTACGTCAGTTCATTGACGTTTGTGGGCTTTTCTCTGTCCTTTCAGCCAGGCGGAGTTCTGCTCTGTGATGGGCCACTGCAGCACTTTGAGTCTTTTCTTTTTCAGCCTTTGTGCTGTAGATTTGCTGCTGAGGTCATCGTCCTGTGCAAGGTGCCCATGTCCCATTGCTGCAAAATAAACCCAAATCAGAGCTTATCAATGTGAGATACTCTAACACGCAACATCAAGCAATCATTTTGATAAGAATGAAACTTATAGAAAATAAAATGGTTATTTATCTAAATAATTAAACATTAATGAAAACATCCTTTGTATGAACTGACTGTATATCAGATTCCATTAAATGTAACATTTATACCCAAATTACATGGAAAATTTACATGTAATGAATTTACTTAAAGTCACCATTTTGGGCATAAATATTTTTTTAATTTTAATGTAACAGGACACAACAAGGAACAGAGAAGACAAACATGACACGATGCAGTGGTCTATAAACATGTGGGGGTGAAAAGAGATGAATGAAGAAGAAGAGCCGCTCATCACACAAAGTACTGCAATAGTCTGAGCTTATAATTGTACAACAGATGGTTCAACTCCACCTGGTCCAGCCCTAACTATATGCTTCAGCAAAAAGGAAAGTTTGAAGCCTAATCTTGAAAGTAGAGATAGTGTCTGTCTCCTGAATCCAAACTGGAAGCTGGTTCCACAGAAGAGGGGCCTGAAAACTGAAGGCTCTGCCTCCCATTCTACTTTTAAATACTCTAGGAACAACAAGTAGGCCTGCAGAGCAAGAGCCAAGTGCTCTAATAGGGTGATATGGTACTACAAGGTCATTAAGATAAGATGGGGCCTGATTATTTAAGACCTTGTATGTGAGGAGCAGGATTTTGAATCCTGGATTTAACAGGAAGCCAAAACAGGAGAAATCTGCTCTTTCCTTCTAGTCCCTGTCAGGACTCTTGCTGCAGCATTTTGGATCAGCTGAAGGCTTTTCAGGGAGTTTTTAGGACTTCCTGATAATAATGAATTACAGTCGTCCAGCCTGGAAATATGTTAATGAAGGTAATGCCCCAAGATTCTGGTCAGACACCATCTTTATGAGATTTTTAGTCGTAAATATAAAAACTTTTTTTGTCTGAGTTTAGAAGGAAATTGGAGGTCGTCCACAGCGTTATGTCTTTAATATAAGCCTGTAGTTTCATTGATTGATTTATGCCACCAGGCTTTATGGATCATAAAAACTGATTCTAATGATTCCACTGTGTCCACATGCTTGCTCTCAGGGGTCATCTGATCGTTGGGCTTTCTCTGTATTATTGTTCAGTCTTACAATATAAAGCACCTTGAGGTGATTGTAGTTGTGATTTTGTGCTGTGTAAATTAATCTGAATTGAACTGTATGCACATTTATCAGAGGAAGGCTTAATGATGTTGGCCAGCGGTCCCCGAGCCCCCGGGCCAAACATACCATGTTTCAGTACCAAATGACTTACTGGTACCAGTTAGATCTCTCACGACCTTAGTGGCCTTGTTGTTGCAAAACATCCTGGTAGGACTGGTTACAGAAGAACTACTGAAGGTTCCAGTGAGCACTATTGGGCCATAATCTGAAACTGGAAACAACATCATGTCACTATAGACAGTTGTTCCCCACAAGATTTCAGACAGTGGAGTGAAAAAAGTTATCAGAAGAGTTGTCCCAGAGCCAACTTGAGCTGCAGAAAGACCTGGAATCAGCAGGTACAGTCGTTACCGCGCTGCGAGAGTTGACCTGTCAGCTGTCTGACATCACGGATGCCATCGAACCTCAGCAGTAATAACACAGAGGCTGGATGTGGAGAGGGAGTTGAGGCTTTTCACACTTTCAGCTGTGAAATTTATGATTTTCAGGGTTTTCATCGTTAACTCCGTTTCCCGGGTCTTTCCCCGTGTTGTAGTCGTGCGTCTTATTTTGAAAGAAATATTTAAGAGTTACCATAGCGACCAGAGAGCATTAAGGGGCAGAGAGGAGGATGTTACTCTCTATGTTGTTGGTGCATTTCAGGAGGACGCTGCTAATAGTTACACAGTTACACAGTGAATTCACGTGTATTATTATATTTACAAAATACCAGTTTCTGTCTCGGTCGTGTCTTTAATTTTGTCGTGTTTATCTGCACCTTAAAGCCGTGAAAACATCGTCTGACGTTAAACTGCTCCGTGGCACAAAGAAGGTTGGGGGCCGCTGTGATAGGCTGATTAACAGCTTAAATATATAATACCTACTTACATTCATAACAAACATGCACATTTAAAATATCAGACTGATTTAAGAACTACAACGAACGTCTGAAACTTAAATGACGATGCAGATCTTTATTAAAGTACGAAATCCTCCACTCATGTCTGCCCACATTCACCTGTCAGCTGTCTGACATCACGGATGCCATCGAACCTCAGCAGTAATAACACCGAGGCTGGATGTGGGCCTCACTCCAGATTTCCACACCTGGATTATGAGCCTGCATCTAGACAGTTTTATACTTACAGACAAACAGCACTTTAAATATGAACCACAGTAAAAGATAAAACATGTCCGTAGTGACAACTTTAGAGATTTAATATTCCTCCGTGTTATAAAATATTACTCATGTCAGACTTGTGAGTGTGGCTAACATGACAGTCCCAGTTCCAACATACCCCTGCCCAGCTCTTAATCTTAGAGAGGTCTGATGATAAGCTTGCTGATCCTTGTTGCTGTGAGACAGCCTATCACTTTGGCCTCATGTCATCCTCATGGGCTCTGGTGGTAATGAGAGCTTGTTAATCCTTCTGTCACTATTTCCTGCAGGCATACAGCCATTTGCAAATGCCAGAGTTGATTAACAAGACACTCCCACACAGTCTAGTTCGATTCAGCTCTTAAAAAAGGCTTAAGATGGCACTGTGGCACTGGAACAATGAGCGAGCATCATAGTCACGTGCTGACACCAGTGTCCTGAGCGAAACATACACAAACTGGCATCGAGCGCAGTGTAATGACCTTCTTCCTCTCAGCAGCAATTAGTGTCCTTCAATCCGGTTGTTCAGTCTGACGTCACTAGCCGTGTCTGGGCCTAAACTCCGCTGCAGGTCCATATATCAAACGATCACTGTGGCATTACTGAGAGTTGAAAAGTCTTTCATCTTTAATAAAATGATCAGTGTTCTGCTCTACCAGGTGTAACAATTGAGTTTAACATCCAGGCATCCATGAAAACGGAATTTATGACATTTAACGGAGTTAGAAGTTAGCAGGGAGTTAGCTCGCTAGCTTCTATCTAAATACAATATAGCATGTCCTGACTGCGGGGTTTTGGAAACAAATTCAAACGTACAGCTCTGTTATCACTTCCAGCATAAATGAAGACAGAAAACTAAACAGCAGTGATGTTTGTAGGGTTACTGAAGTTTGGCTAGCTGGTATATAATGATGTGCTACGTGACCGCTAGCGACATAGCTATGTTAGCATAATATAAACAAGCTAACTTTTTTTCCACTCGATAAAAGTTAACGTGAGTGTTCTCGGTGGTCAGGAACAAATGTAATCGCATGGCAGGATGCTGTAAAAGGACCAAACTTCAGCCAGGAGAACAACTGAGATAATCCATCCACAATACGAGGTTAGTCATTCATATACTGCTGCATGGGCTGGGCTGTAGTTACATCCTAAGGTTTTAAAAACTGAGCTTAAATAAATGATTAGCGGTAATAAAAGCCGAGGGAGGTCAACAGTGATCACTGACTGTTTTAGGAGCTTTTTGAGATCAAATAGAAGAAAATACAAAACATTAAACATGTTAACAACATGTAAGCCATATTAAACGCAGACTACTTTAGGCCCGGAAGTAGGATTCGTCGCGTCATCACTGAACAACCGGATACACAACAGCCTTGATGTGATGTTTGATTAAGAGCCAGAAAACCTTTCTTTCATTCCTTCAACTCATATTTTCAAGCAAACAAAGTACCTTGCTAGGAAAAGTTAAAGTTCGTCTGTGGATGTTCAAAAATCTGGAACATTTTCAGAGACAATGTCAAACAGGAAACAAGACACAAACACGGCCTGTTTGGTCTCTGTGGGGTTCGTCTGGGCAGAGAATCAAACCGTGTCAGGAACCAAAGGAACGGCATTTTACACGGTCAGCAGAGAAGATGCTGCTCCATTATCTCCGTTTGGTCATGGAGGAATAAGGAACATCCACTGCCAAAATAACCCAACAGCACAATAATGTCTCCATTAGTTTAGAAGGCATTATGCTGACATGTGGACCATAGCTGAAACTCACCTCAACACCAACCAGCCCAAACCTGCACCTGGCCTCACTTTAACCCCAACATTAAACCAAGACACACAACATGACCACATAAACAGAATTACTGCACTACAATAATAATAGTGTAATGACACACACACTGCTGTGCGTTGTAGGTAAATAAGAACAGCACGGCTCAGGTTTTAGTAAGAAATACATTTCATGGGCTGCTTTATCTTCACAGTAGTGAAACAAAAATGATTTAAGCTTGAAATGGGGCAGAAAACTCAGTGATGCTGAGCTACAAAGGGAATGACACGAGAGTGGGAATGTCAGTATGCGTTAGTGGAAGCGTCCTGTTGTGGAGAGCGTGGACAGGAGATGGGAGATGACAGGCCTGGAACAGGGCAATCAGACACTCCACTGCGGAGCAGCACAGTGTGGGCCACACTCTACTTTGCAGCAACTTCTTCTTCCCTGTATCTTCCCTTATCTTAGTGCACATCACTGACTGTGAGTTTTGCCCTTTTTTAACTTTCACAACCCTTTTGTTGATTAAAAGATGTGGTTGCCTCAGCACGGGGCTCTAAAACAGTACATCATGTCACATAATTGTGCAGCTCTCCCTTGTCAGCCCTGCAGGGCGACCTGACCAGGGTGTAACTGCCTCTCACGCTGTGACAGCAAACTCAGAGTTGTACATAATCATTAAGGGTTGATCTGTGATGCTGGAAGAACAAACAGATAAAGCCGCCGACTGAGTGGCTGGAATTTGTTGTCGCTCGTTGTTGTTCTGTGCACAGATATTTCCGTCAGGTTGCAAATGACCCAAACTAGTTGGAACATCAGGCACAAAGCGAGTCTGTCATCGGTGTTGTTGTTTGGCTCTGCAGCAGCTCCGACGCTCACACACAACATGCTGCTTCTCCTGTCTTGTGGACTCGTGTACAATCTTTAACGTATTCTTCATCTTGCTTGTGCTGCTGAACTCTTCCTCGTGGAGCACTAAGAGCACCGACACCTGCTTCATTCAGCACGTCTACAACCCGGCATGTGTGGCTTGTTTTCATCGGAGGGCGTTTGTGGCTTCATATTAACCCAAAAGCTTATTGTCCACCCTGTAAGCAGCGATGACAAATCTGTAAGCTTTACAGAAAATACACAGAAGTAAACGTGTGACTGTAAGTCACAGTTACACTGTGAGGATCGAGCCACTGACGTTTGGTTGGTAAATGACCCCGCTGTGTCTCCTGAGCCGCAGCCTGGACTATGAGCTTAACCAAGAAGGATGTTTAAAGCCCAATTTGTGTCGTTTCATTTCTTCTTCCTCTGCGGCGGTCTATTGTGCTGCGTACCTGAATCAAAGGAATCGGTGTCATTACTTGAAGCAACTGCATCTCCCAGTGTTGCAAAGTGGATCAAACCATTTGTCTGAGCGGGAGACCAGGATGATGCTCAGCTCATGTTATTGTAGGAAATAATGCAGAAACAATTAATGGAACCTTGTCTTGCAGCTTTATGTCTATTTAATACAACGTTAGACTGAGTTTAGTTTGTGCACATGAGAACTGGGAAGCAGCCTGAGGCCAGCTGAGCCGGATCTTTACTCAGGGTGCTCTGTCCTACCAAATCAGAGCGACACCAGGCTTCAGCATGGCGAGAAAAATCATTCATGGGTAGATCTTTTACGACTTGCTTGTTGCAAACATATTATTGACATTAAAGATCTACAGCTTGGATTAGGAGGGTATGAGTGATAGAGTCATCTAATATCCAGTGAAACACAAGCAAGCCCACAGTCTGAGACACAATGAGAGACTATGAGTGTAAGACGGGCCCGAAGTGTTTGTGGAGAACGATTTTAAATGTGATTCTGGATGTAACAGTACAGCAGACATGCTCGCTCTTTCTGTGAAAGGAAACAAATGCATGAGCTCGTTTTCACTCTGAGACAGGACATTTCTAATTTTAGAGATGTTGCACAAAAGGAAGAAATCAGTCCTAGATGTTTGTTTATATGTGGATCGATGTACGCATCCTGATTCCCAGCAGTGTTACTGGAGGTCAACGTAATGCCAGAGTAAGTATGGCAGTAGATACCATATTTGGAAGATTTGAGTACAGTAACTTTGTGTTTTGTCTGAATTTACAGTGCAACAAACGGTTTTTCCAGGTCAAACAAAAGTGTTGTGAGTTAGTGAAGCGTCACTTCCTGTGCAGCGTGTGCCTTATCTGCTGAGCATTTGGAGCACTCCTCCAACTTTCAGATGACTTGCTATGCCCTCGTGAGGCTGTCGTGCTTTTCACTTTTCCCCACTGCTTCTCGCTACAGCATGAAATTAGAACCAGTGCACACTTGCTCCCCTGGGCTGCCTCTGCTTGCTGGTGCAGGATTGGGCTTTGTGGTGCAGAGGACTACACTGTTAACGCTTGACATGCTCCAGAAACCCCCCGAGTGTAACATAAATCCCCTCACACAGGTGTGCACCTACACAGAGTTGTGTCACCTTGTGTGTTTGCTTACAGACATGACAGAGAAATATGATCATATTTAAAAAGGACGAGACAGAAGGAGGCACTGATGTCCTCACTGTGCAGCTAGTGTGATGTCACCACACTTTCATGTCCACTTCCCCTGGAAACAACAGCATCATTATG